GATGTCCTTCTCCAGGGACTGGTCTCCCCTGATAATTGGAGGTGGGTGCAGCTAGGCAGCTAGGCTGAGTCGGGGCGGGCGAGGGGGTCCTGGTCTGACCTCCCTGGGACGGGCACCCTCCAGACTCCCCACCATCACTGGGGGCTCCTGAGAACACCAGCATCGATGAGCAAAGGGCGAGTGGGGTTGACAAGGACGGGGACAGAGACTTTCTCATGGCGCCCTCCCTCGGGAAATACCATCCTCTAATGGTCAGGGCGGACTAGCAGGGGAGGTCAACATCCTACAACCCTATCGTCTGGCCCCACCGCAGGAATCAGCAGACAGAAACAACGAAGCAGCCTCTGTGCCTCACTGTCCCCTGGGGAGACACAATCTGCCCCCAGCCCCAGAGAGCTCCCACTTCTGGCCCCTCTGCTGAGCTGCGTGTGAAACTGGCCTCATCCCAGCCAAGGAAGCATTTCTCTCCTGTGCTCCCAGAATTCTCTCAATCGGTGTTGCAAATGTTTCACCAGCAAGAAAACGAGAAGATGACCCACAGAGCGAGGGAACACACTTGCTGACCACACATCTCAGAAGGGACTTATATCCAGGAGGTACAATTATACCTTCTCTTTAGAGGTAGGTTAGCCTGGACTATTCTCAAGCCGCCCCCACCTGGTCCGTCAGTCTGTCACACTGTGGAGGCTTAGGTCTTGCTGAGATGCTGAAGTGGCAGCACTGGTATTTCACCTGCCTGGGGGTGGGGGTCACCCATGGGAAACGGGTCTCAGCAGAGCTCCCAGACGAGGAAGCGACCAGGAAGAAGGAGCAGACGGTCTACTGAGGAATCCGGCACGGAAAACCTTATGAGAAGCTGAGGAACATTGTGAGACACAGCGCCAGCAAGTGGTCCTCTCAGGTGGAATGCACTCAACAAGCTGGGAGAGCTGGACACGCTGCTTTCGGGACGTTCATTTGCGGGCGAGGGAGCACAATTCCGAATGAGAAGAGACAACCGCCCACACCCACTGCTCATCAAAATGTGGGTGCACCGAGCACGAATCTAGGAAAATGAATTCACGAAAACGAAGTGGAATGCTTGAGAATCAGGGTCCTAGGCAGCAGCCTTCGGCGCTGCTCACGAAGCTGAGGGTGAGAGAGGGAGTACGAACGCGCCACAGTCACTGACAAACGGACGCGTCTAGGCCGTCTGGAAACACCACGGAGTCTGTGGTCAGAGGAGATCGACAGGAAAACAAGGTCAGCTGAGACAGCTACCCTTCAGATGCACACATCAGTCGACGGCTAGTGATGGAGACACGGAAGCCCTCTTCCAACTTCTCCCCTCGGATGCAATCAAGGTGCACTGATAATTACTGGCGACTGGAACTTGAAGGTTGGAAACAAAGAGGGAAGATGAGTTGCTGGAAAATATGGACTCGCTGACAGAAATGAAGCAGGTACCCTGGGGGGTTTAAAATAAGGCAAGGTGCATGTCGGGGTTGTATCTCTCTACCACACGTACTCAATTTGTATGTGGAGCAAATGCTCTGAGAAGATAGACTATACTGAGAAGAACTGGGCATTGAGATTGGACAAAATCACATTAAAATATGCGATATGCACATGACACAACCTTGTTTTCTGTAATAGAGGAGGCTTTGAGCATTTGCTGATGATTAAACATGGTTGCCTTCAGTATGGACTGCAATTCAAGATAAAGAAAACCAAAATCCTTACAACTAGACCAACAGACAACATCATCATGAATGGAGAGAAGACAGACAATGTCAAGAAACCACAATCAGTGCTCGTGGAAGTGGAAGTCAGGACATCAAATGATATATTGCACTGGGAAACTCTGACGCATTTAAAATATTAAACAGCAAAGATGTCACTTTGAGAACGAAGGTGCACCTGCCCCATGCCACGGTAGGTATTTTCACTCCCCCCATGCACATGCGTGTGAATTACGGAGTTGGGGACGAGCACTGAAAGTACACGGAAAGCCCGCAGAACGCACGTCTTGGAGGACGTGCAGCCAGGGGCTCCACAGAAGTGTGGATGGCGAGTCTTCCTCTCACAGACGTCAGACCTGGCCTCAGAAGGACCAGTCCCTGGAGATGGACATCAAGTTTGGTAAACTTAGGGCCAGTGAAAAAGAGGAAGATTCTAAACAGGATGCACTGACAGCGCGGCTGCAACAAGGGGGTCAAACCTAACAGCGGTGAGGATGGCACAGGGCGCGCAGTGTTTGTTCTGCGGTGCGTAGGGTTGGGTTGGAGCTGCCTCGATGGTACGAAACATCAGCAGCATCCCCACACTGAGCCCTGGCGGTGCAGTGGTCAGGTGCTTGACTGTGAACCCCAAGATCAGCAGTTGGAACCCACTAGCAGGAAAGAGGAGGCAGTCTGCTCCTAGAAAGACCACAGTCTTGGGACCACGAGGGCAGTTCTACTCTCTCCCAGGGGCACGGTGAGCCAGCATTGACTCAGTGGCAATGGGTCTGCTTGGTTTTTTATTTTGTACCCCCAAACCAGAGGCACTACTGGCTTCGCTGGCAGATGGTGGTCATCTGGAGGAAGAGCGTCCTATGTCCATCACTCACTCACCTGGGAGGTTTCCTTTGAGTACTTGGCACACAGCCCATCTATGCCC